AAAGAGGTCTTTTACAGCAGATTTGCCAAATGTAATATGTTGTTGGATTTCTTGCCTGCTGCCTTCCATGAATGTTGATGTTGACACAAGTAGAAAAAAATCATCAACAACTTCTATTTCTTCATTTATCATAATGTTATTTATTGGTCCAAATGTGAAGATTTTTATTTTCTTTATGTTCAGATGTAATTGATACTGAAGTCTGTAGTCTTTGACCATCAGTAATTACTTCAAGTTATCTTCATTTTTGGCATGCTAGGTTGTGGTGTTATTTTTTATAAGTATTTTTTAAAAGATCATTTTAGTGTGGTGATATAAATAAATATAATAAAACATTTGCCATTTCAACCATTTTTACATTCTAGTTCAGTGCCTTTACATTCTACATTCATCATGTTGTCTACACTCTTCTGAGAGTAAGCCAAAGAAATGCGCACAGACAGGGCCAAATTCTCCTTAGAGAGCAATTTCACTTGTTTCTAATCCAATGGGCCAGTGAGTGATGGACTCCTGAATTCTGCTCCACCAAACATATCTCTCTAATTGTAACCTGGAAAAACTGTAAGGCAAGTTAACAAATGCCCATGCTGGATACTAAAGTATCTTAATTAAGCACTTAGAAACATCTAACTTTGAACATTAGTATATCTTCCAAGTAAGTTTTTGAAATTAATATAATACCCAAGATAAAAAAAAAATGCCACTAGTAAGTAGATATTTAAAAGTTGGAATACTTCTACTAAAAAAAAAAGTGTATAACAATGCTCATTGCAGCATTATTCAAATAATCAAAAGGTGGAAATAGCCAAAATGTATAAATAAAATATGGTATATTATATATATATATACACACACACACACAATGGAATATTACTCAGCCATAAAGCAAAATGAAGTTTTGATACATGCTACAACATGCATGAACCTTGAGAACATTATGTTGAGTGAAATAAATCAGTCACAAAAGGATATTGTATAGTCCTACTTATATAAACTATCTGAAATAGGCAACTGTACAGAGACCAAAGTTTATTCACAGTTACCAGAGGTGGGGGGAGGGAGGAGAAAAGGAGGAGTCATTGCTTAGGGAACACTGAGTTTCTGTTAAAGATGATGGAAATATTTGGAAGCAAATAATGGTGATGATTGAACAACATGACAAAAATAATTAATGTCACTGAATTGTACATGTAAAAAGTGAAATGGCAAATTTATTGCTACATATATATTTACCACAATTAAAAAAAATAGACTAGTTATAGAAATTAGTCTGTGGACCTTCTTTCTGGCAATAGTTGGCTGCCTAGGACCACTCCTTAAAGGTTGTTTTTTGCAAGACCAGTTTAATTAAGTCAATTTGAATTCTACTCTTATTTACCAGGTATATGCTCCTGATTTAATTTAATAGAATTTGACATTTTAATGACTAGATGCAAACTGTTTGTCCAATTCAGCAGTAATGAGAGTAAGTAGGAATCTCAAAACTATCCTTGCGTTGATACTTTTCTGTTGATAGGCTCTTGGGGCACAAAATTTGATAATATAGGCAGTCCCTGGGTTATGAACAAAATCTGTTCCTCGTATCCAACTCATGGCAACTCCTCCTTGGGTGTCTGAGGTGATATCACTACAGAAGTAGATTGTCCATCTTTCCTTCTGAGGAGTGGCTGGTGGGTTTGATCCACCAGCCTTCTGGTTAGCAGTCAAAATGACTTAGGTACTACGCCAGCAAAGCTCCCATGGTTCTTATTTAGCCTTATTTTAGTGCAAGATGAGGAGCCCTAGTGGTGCACTGGTTAAGTGCTTGGCTGCTAACCCAAAGGTGGGCAATTTGAACCTACTAACTGCTCCTATGAGAAAGATGTGAGACAGTGTGTTTCCGTAAAGATTGACAGTCTTGGAAACTCTACGGGGCAGTTCTACTCTGTCCTGTAAAGTCACTATGCGTTAGAATTGACTGATAGCAGTGGGTTTAGAATTGGTTTTTTAATGCAAGAAAAGGCTCAAAGCCTTTTCAATTATTTAAAAGCTGCACATCCAGCAAGTGGAGGTGATTATGATGAAGAATTTGTGGCAAGGAGGGTTCAATAGTTTCAAAGTGAGGGTAAATTTACATAACATAAAGAGCAAGTTTATAGATGTTCATTTGTAACCCTGGGGCCTTGTTGTAGCCAATAATTCCTGTACTGTTCCCTGGAAAGCTGATAACCACCCCCCCAAAAAAAACCCACTGTCATTGTCAATTCTAAGTCAGTGACCCTATAAGACAGAGTACAACTGCCCCATAGGGATTTTAAGGCTGTAATCTTTAAGGAAGTAGACTGCTGTATCTTTCTCCCTTGGAGCAGATGGTAGGTTTGATCCACCGACCAGCAGTTTAACCATTGCGCCATCAGGACTCCCTGGAGAGCTTATAGGGAAGCAGTAGAGAAGACTAGCTAGATGCCATCCATGTTCTGGAGATAGCCTGGGTTTGAATCCCACCTCCACCACTTACTGAATGTGTGACCTTGGACAAATGGCTTCATTTCTCTAATCTTCATTTCCTCCTTTATAAAGTAAGGTTGTGGTATTCAGATAATGTGGTTAAAGCACTTGGCACAATGCCTGACACATGGTGAGAGTTCATTAAATGGTAGCTATTATCACTGATTATTTATTTGCCCCCATAATCCAGAATTCATACTGTTATTCAAATTATTTTGTGTTTGTTGGAAGACAATTTAACCATTTAACTTAAAGCTGAAAATAAATACAATTGATGATTTCAAGAGAAATTTCAATAGAAACACCCTGGAAGGAAGAAAAAGACGAGTTAAGCTGCTTTATTTATTTAAAAAACTTTTTATGGTTTCTAGCTTTTATCATTAGATGGATGAATACACATATGTGGCTGGCACATAGTAAGCTCTCTAGAAGCAATTGCTAATATTCTTTCAAACTCATGGAAAGTCAAGCAAACAGCAAAGTGGATGGAACAAATGGAAATAAATATAGCAAAGAAATTTTACACACTTTCTTTTAAAAAGAGGATCTATTTCTTCTTTAGGAGCTCTGGTGGCCGTAGTGCCTAAGCCACTTGACTGCTAACCAGAAGGCTGGGGGTTCAAACCCACCAGCCACTCCTCGGAAGGAGGGTTGGGCAATCTACTTCCCTATTGATACCGCCTCGGAAACCCAAGGAGGGGTCGCTATGAGTCGGGTCCAACTCGAGGGCACATAACAACAACAACAACATTTCTTCTTTAGCAATATAAATGTGTGAATGCCATTGGTTGGTTTGAGAAATTTGCTCACAGTTTGCTGTTTGAATTCCTTAGGCCAGTACCTGTTTATAGGCCCATTTCCAACTGAGGATCTTTTGCTCAATGTCATCAACCAAGTGTCCTACTTTAAGCAGTTCGCATTTTCCTTCGTGATAATCTGCACAAACTCATTTTCGTGATAATCTGCACAAACTCATTTTAGACTTGTGCTGTTTTCTTGACTTTCTTCCAACATTGTTTGAAATATTACCATCAGTGTAATGTGGAATCATTCCAAGGTCTGATCCTATGAAAATTCGTTCCTCTAACAGTCCTGGCATATATTTAACCACCCACCTTCCAGAATTTGGTGAGGTCATCAATAGCATTAACCAACCTTCCACTAGGGGGCACAGGAGACCCAAGCACCACAGCGTTAAATTGCCATTCACGTTTACAAGAACTAGCAGCAGCGTTAGGAAAATCAATTCCTTCCCGAATTAGACCCATCTGGTTACATACTTAATTATAATTTATGTTCTGTAATTATTGGCTTGCAAGGTAGCAAGGAGAAACAAACGTCTCGTTTTCAGAACTCCTCTTCACCTCTTGAAATAAAACTGGCAAAAATAAAAGAGAATTCTAGGAACAATTTAATAATGTAAACTTTCATGATTAAAATATAAAAGGTTTCCAGTCCTTCACGGAAGGAAGTGAGACGGCAGAAGGGACAGGAGAGCGAATAAAGTCAAGTAAGCCTTTTCCATCCAGATGGTGTCTGCTTGATAGAAGAGCAAATGGTTAACATATTGTGCAGAGGAAACAGCACATGGTCACGTAGGGGGAAGGGAGGCCACGCGAACATTAGCTGGTAAAATCTCTGCTTGTGAGTGCGAATTGAGTCTTCCAGAGGTCAAAAGGACTTCTTGGGGCTGTCGCTTTCTCAACAGCTGTCCAGGTAAGAAGGTGCGCGCGCATACACAAAAACATTAGAACAACGATGAATATGGTCATCCAGGGTGTAATGGTGGGCGCAAATCTATATTCTCGATTTAATTGCACCCATAACGTGGATCCACATGTGCATAAACATACGCTCCAAAGTATTACATTGGCGATTTGTTCCTCGTACCATTTGCGAAATTCTGGTGTGGGTCACATTTACATCACGCGCAAAGCCTGCGCAAAAGCGAACGCAGCGTGCCCATTTGTCCTGGGGGCCCTTCCTTGCACCTAGGGCAGCGCGAACCCATCTGTCGTGCGCGGTGGTGGCGGCTGGAACACGCCGAGACGATGACAAGATGTGGAGCCGGTTGCAAACGGTATCTTCTTTTCTTCTCATTTCAGTGATGTCATTGGGCGACAGCAGCTGAGAGCTGGGAGGAGGAGGAGGAGGAGGCGGCGCCGGGGCCGCCGCCGCCGCCGCCGCTGCTGCAGGTTCATGTGCATATAATGAAAAGGCACTTGACAGTCTGCCAAAACGCAGGCAAGGGAGAGGGAGCGAAACTGGACCTACTGGATTTCGCAAAGCCAATCGTCATCATCTGCATCTACATGGGGAAGGAGGAGGAGGAGGAGGAGGAGGTGGGATCAGCGGCTCTAGCCTCTGCTGCTCCAATGTGAAACCACGAGCAAAAAAGGGGGATCAGAAAAAGCAACAGAGAGCGAACGAGGGAGGAGGGAGAAGCTTCTCGGTGTGCAGTATCCCCCCCTTCGTTCCCCCTGCGGATTTCTCCTCCTACTCCTCGGGCAGCTATGAATTCCGCTGAACAGACCGTTACGTGGCTTATTACCTTAGGGGTGCTGGAGTCGCCCAAAAAAACCATTTCGGACCCGGAGGGCTTTTTGCAGTCGTCTCTGAAAGATGGGGTGGTCCTCTGCAGGCTGCTGGACCGCTTGCTCCCCGGGACCATAGAGAAAGTAAGTACTATTTCAGCTCGCGCGCCGCCCCCCGCCCCGCCGCCGGCGCGGACCCCGAGTCACCAAGCGCACCCCACCCGGAGGCTCGGCCGCTGTGCGCTGCCGCCCGTCCGCCAGCCCGCTTCCTGCGGGATCGATGTACCAAGCTCCCGACCGGTGGTCCCCGGCCTCTGCGGCCCGGGATGGGCAGAGAAGTGCTGGGACGTGGGGGCCGCCTCGCGCCTTGGCACCTGGGTGATCCGCACGGCGGTACCCGCCTTCTTCCTCTGCCCAGCAGAAAATGTAACGCTTGGGGAGGAAACCTACGCACTTTCCTTTGTGCGCGGACCCCCCTGGAAGCCTGGTTCGCGCCGGGAAGGAGCGTGCGCTTTTCCTCCGTGCACAGCGCTCCTCGCCAGACAGGGAGAACCCATGTAGCGGGAGCTCGGAGGGCGCCATTGTGTGTGGAGTGGGGAGGGGGTCCGGCGGGCAGCGGGCCAGGATTGGGGCGGGGGGCTCGGTGGCCGCAGGGTGGGGGGAGCGAGAGCCGCTTTAAAGGAGAAGGATACCGGAGAGAGGTGCCTCCTCTGCGTCTTCTCCAGGTCGGGTTTCGAAGGGAAAAAGAGTTCTCCACATAATCAGAAATAGGATTTCTGTACCGCCGTAACATTAACTTGCTCCTCGGGTTTTGTGAGGTCTGCCTAGCTCTTTTTCAGTGACCTGATCAGAAAACCTTGTTTCAGTACCATGCACAGTTTTCTCTGTTGGCTTTGTTTGAGCAATTCTTTTTTGATGTTGTTTGTAATTCATTAAAGAGTTTTATCCTTCTTCTGTTTAATTGACCAATTGCTATGCATTTTTAAAAGATGAATTCATCAATAGCTGAGGGCTGGGTCGTGAAATGATTTACTGTTTACCCAACGAAAAAATTCCTTCATGTATTCCAAGGCAAGGGATTGCGAACACTTGGGTTAAAAACCCTGGCATTCTTTAAGACTTGTTTCAAATTCTAGATTTCACTTTCAAGTTCATACCTCTGAACAGAATCCACAATCTTAAAGACCTTGCTTCTCCTTACTCTTGACTAGTGGTTTCCCAATGGCTGAAGTGTGAACTTTGACCTGCATTTCTGTGAGTGATTAAAGTTTGTTTTCATGTCACACAAACTGACAAAGCATGGCTGAGGGGACAGGAGAGCTTTTAAAAACGGTATATCCCAGTATTTTAATATATTACAATTTTATCTCAAATATTTTGTCAAGATATAATGTTGGGATCAGCTATTATTTAAACGGTGTTAAATAGTGGAATTGGAATGAACCATAATTAGGAAGAAGAATTTTTTAATGGGGCACATTGGCTTTTACATACCGTGGCAATCTATTTGTTAGTAATAAATTAAGGCTACTTGAAAAAGTAAAATATTTAATCTTATTCATAAGTTTGAACATGCTCTGGCACTACAATTTAAATGTTAGAAAATCTTAAAATGACTTTTACATGCATATAGTTTTAAGTATTTTTCTTACTTGGAACATGTTTATGAAAACAATCTGTATTTTGGAGTTAATAACTTCCTGCCTGCCCATGAAATAAAAATGTTGCTTGTAAATTAACCTGATGTCACAATAAAAATATGATTTAAGATGAGAATATGGGGCAGGATTAACTTTGGAGGCACTCAAAATGCTGTTTTCATCTGCATATCACTACCTTTGGAAATAAAAGACAGATGTTGAAAAGCGTTGAAAATGCATGATAAGTACAACAACCAAAAACCTATTGCCATCAAGTAGATTCTGATTCATGGTGACTCTGTGGACTCTATGGAGAGAGTAGAACTGCCCCATTGAGTTTCTAAGGCTGTAATCTTTTTTTTTTTTTTTTTTTAAGGCTGTAATATTTAAGGGAGCAGCTTGTTATCTTTCTTCCACTGAGTGGCTGGTGGGTTTGAACTGCCTGCCTTTCAGTTAGCAGCCAAACACTTAACCACTGTGACACCAGGTCTTCTAAGTTTACCAAAGTAGACATAAAGTATTTTTCCATTTTTAAGAGTGAAACTTTAAAGAACTTAATATGCTATATTGATAAGAACATTTCAATATCAATGCATATGTTATTTGGCATATTAGCCAAATTAATATCAATTGGTAAATTCCAATACTTATTTTTTAATTCTGGAAAAGTTTTCTTAGAAAACTGTAGCAATCTTTTCATCTCTAAAACAACAAAGAAAACTATGAATAAAATGTTTAGCTTGCAGAACTCAAATTGAAATAACCCACCGTGGTCTAAAACTATAGTCACTTGGAAATTTCTTATATTGAAGCTATTTATTTTTACCTGAGGTCCAAAAAGTTTGTTTTAAACTGATTCTAGGACAATGAAAGCTTAACATCAAAGCAGCAAATTTTAGACAGAGCTACTGATTCTCTATGGTTCAAAGGTAGATTTTCAGGGTAAAATATTAGCCATTCTCTGCCTCCTGAAAACCCTTGGGTTTCAGAAGAATCATGAGCTTTTTCCATTTGCTAAGAAGAGTTATTTGTTTGAGCTTTCGGATGTTTGCATGCATACCAAATAATATATGAAACAGAGCACACATGCTGAACAACTTTTACTTGAATGTGGGAATGTGAGCATGGAGACATTTTTCCTTAAAAAGAAACATTTGGAAGCTTAACTGAATATTCATGGGGAACCGGAAGAATCTTAGCTTTACTCCTTATAACATGCAAAACACACTTTTAGCTAATGAAGTATCAGCAGTTTGAAACTTAACATTTGCAAATTCACAATTTAAAATTAACCATTAGACTGGGGCTAAGGGCAAAATTAAGAAAAGTTGAGTTGGCTTGGATTTCTCATATGTATTTTATTAAGAAAAATATTTCCTAGTATGATTCTTTCATTATGTTCATTTATCTTATGTGAGACCTAATAAAAGAGAAATGAGAGGACGTTTGTCTAGTTACAGATTATTCTACCCATTTAAAGCTTTGTTTTCATTCAGGTTCCCCTTTATGCGGTTCTGCTTTTGTTTAAGGTGGAAGGCAAGACAGTGAAAAGAGGTAACTATAAATTTATGTGAGCAGTTCAGAAAAGAGACTTTTCCATATTACCAACAATATGTTTTTTGATTGTGGCTGCAGGGGAGAAAAAGATGAGGGTTAAAAAGTTTCCTAGGACAATGATTTTTCCAGTAAAGGCCAGGAAGTTTCACTGATCCCCCCACACTTTTACCACCCCCTCATTCCTTCTGTGATGAGAAACACACAAAGACCATAAAATCTCACGGGTGATCATCTTTAGCCCCATTAGCTCTATTCTCATAAATTAACACTTAAAACATCTTGAATATTAGTCAAAAGGGGTGAAATCAAGATATATTTAATTTAGAGGATGCCAGATTACCATAGAACTGATAAAATACATGTTACAATAATGGGAATGGTAAAATGCTATTTTTATTTTACTTGTATTAATCTTTATGGGCAACAGATGAAGTCACTTAACTCATTGTGAAAAAGTCAAGTCTTTGAGGATCTGGTTTCTTTCACACATAGAACTTCCCCCATATAAACCATATAATGTCCTCCATAGGAGATGCTCAATCGATATTTGTGGAATGTAACTGAAAGCCCGATGCTACTCTTCTGGTCTTGCTAGATGTCCTGTGTGTGTGCGCACCCATGTATTTAAACTTTTAAATTGTTGGGTTGAATAATAAATTTGAACTGAATCAGTTTATTAAAGACCCACCTAGTTGCGTGGTGCTATGGGAGATAAAAAGATGAAGTAAATGTTTCTTAGCGTTTTAGTATAGGAGAAAACATAAATATAAAAATAATATATAGCAGAATGAATTCAAAAGTCATAATGTCAGATACAGATTAAAAGTAACAAAGGAATTAAATAAGTAAAGGAGGAGGACCTGTGTTTGAGCTGTGTCAGACTCTGATGATTTTTCTTAACCCATAAATCTTTACTAATCCAACACAGGGATTAGCCTATGGCTTGTAATTCCCCAAACTATAATCTGGTAGCCCTGTGTGATCTTTTGCATGTTTGCAGAAAATAGCAAATTCAGATAGTAGCATGGGAAAAAGAAGATGCTTTTTCTTAACTCATTTGCTTTGACTCAGTTTCTGAGTAGTCTTTAGATCCTGGGGATGGCTAGGGAGTAGGTAGAAAGAGAAATGAAATCTCAGTGGACCTTAGGTAGAATGTATAAGTGTCTCCTGCTAGAAATTTGTCTTTTTATAGGGACTTGTCCTAGAGGCACAGTGTATAAGTATGAGGCTGCTGCTACCCTATATGTTGGTGGTTTGAACCCACTAGCCCCTCTGTAAGAGAACAATCGGGCAGTCTGCTTCCCTAAAGATTTACAGCCTTGGAAACTCTATGGGACAGTTGTGCTCTGTCCTATGGGGTTGCTATTAGCTGGAATCAACTCAATGGTGGTGGGTTTGAGTTTGGGTTTGGGTGTTTTGCCTCCAAGAAGGAAGGTTGGGCATTCTACTTCCGTAGTGATACTGCCTTGGCAACCCAAGGAGGAGTCACTATGAGTTGGGGCCAACTCGACGGCACACAACAGCAACAACCAACAAGAATGTGATCATTGATGACAATGTGGTAATAGTGGTTAAATTGTGATTTAGAATGAATTTGATTAGGAAATCCCATGCCCTGTAGCTGTTCAGTAAATACTTCTTTGTCTGATAAATCCATCAGAGAAAAATTATAAAGGAAGTTATATCTAGAATATGATTTTAAGGAGAGATCTTTACCTTGCACACTGAATTTTAGATTATATCAAGTTGCTTCTAATTACCAGTACCAGTTGCCATCAAATTGATTCCAATTTAAGGAGACCTTTTTTAAGGTCTCATTTAAGGTCTCATTTTTAAGGTCTCAATTTAAGGTCTCATTGATTACCTTGCATTAACTTCTCAGAATAGTTAGTTTTGTGGTAATAAACATCTGCTTTTGAACTGTGTAAGGAGCTTTGGTGGTGTAGT